TTTATGTGTGTAGTTCTCATAAGAAACATATGAAAATAAAATGAAATAAAATATTATATGAAATATTTTATCGATATGAGAAAATGATTAATTGATTAGAGTTGATTGTTTCTTCGTTAAAATTTAATTTCTTAAATTATACTTTATGTGATACTTGTTAAATTAGAAAAAAAAAACTTACATGAGAATTTCATTTAGAAATTAATAAATATAATGAATAATTTTCAAAATTATAAAAGAATAAATTGAAGGAAAAAATATATTGTTCGTGTAATGATGACTATGTTAAATAATTGTGAAGTTTTGAAAATAAGAATTTTAATAATATCAATGTATTCTTCGAGCATATGTAAAAAAAAAACATGATCAATTATTTTTATTTTAAAATGTGTTTGATAACTAAAATAACAAACAATTTTTAGAATGTTATAAAGTTAGATGATCCTACGAACAGTATATGGTTATTTGTTCTTTTTCATAAAACTATTGTTTTTTTTTTTATTTTAAAATTTAGTAGGGATACACCAGAGATGGGATCGGTTGGATCTTTGACTTTGTCGATTCTATTTGGTTTAAATTTTGAAAAACTTCAATCATTTCCAATCTCTAGGATGCACTGACTGGCATCACGTTTTAACTTTTTCAGGTTCGGCTGAATACACTTAGTATTCGAGTCTAGTGGTCGCGTCAGGAATTTTTCTTTGGGTACACTCAACCTCCCCCTTTGTTTTTAATATTGTTAAAAGTAATGCAAATTTTTCTTCATCGAAACATTCTTGCAAAAAAATTTACTTTCTGGTCATGTACGATATTATCAGCAATGTTCGATAACTAAACTGTAGTGTTAACAGCTAAATTTAACATGCGCTATGCTTCGAAACAACATCATATTGAGTTTCTTATGATTCTCGTTTCGTAAGTGTGGTTTTTTTTCTCAATCTTTTGCAAAAGTCTTGTTTCAAATAAATATCGTATTTGCCATTAGTTGCCGTCAAAGGTGATGTAGAGTTCGATTAGATACTATCGCGGATATTAGTGAATTCTTAAATGCCCGAAAAATACTTTCATGGCGGCGATGGAAGCATCTAGTCTGTTTATTATTTCGTAAAAAATGGAAAAACACCACAAAAATCCAAAAAATCACTATTCGATTCGAGAATGATATAATTGATCAAAAAAATAGCTGAACAGATTCTCATTATTTGTGATCAATTAAAACTAAAATCTATTTTTTTGTCAATCAATGTCTGTATTATCATCGGTTTCATGTATATGACAATCTTTGTGTTGTAATAAATACTATTAGCAATTATTTGATATTGCTTTTGCTGCTGAGGAATAAGATATATGAGGTGCAAGTTAAGACAAATATTAGTATAATGATAAAAGCAATTAACACCGAAATATGTATTAGTTATATATTATCATCAAATTTATCAATTAAACAACCCGACTAACTCTTTTTTGAGATGACTTATGATTTGGTTTTAATTATTTTGGAACATAACAATGCACGTTATCTTGTAATCTATTTGGTTCATTGAACAAGAATAAGCATGAAATAAATTTTCTCTTCTTCTGATTTATACGTTACTGCTCATGAATGACGTCGTCATCCATTCTATCGTTGTTATGTAACAATTCTTAGTTCTTCCTTAATATAAAATGAACAGAAGAAAAACTAAGCAGTATTAATTTCTCTAAATCGTGAATATAAAGATTTATTTTAATCGAAGTTATCATTAAAATTCTCTCAGTATACCTTTAAAGTTCTAATTTTTCAACTTTTTTTTATATTAGAGATAAACTCGTCGTCGCTTCATAAACAAGTGCTTCCTACAAACAAATAACAATTCGAAAAAGAGAAATGTTTTTTCTATTTTTGAATAAAATTCAATTATATCAACAGTTTATCATATAAATGTAGTCATACAAGATTTATTAAAAATCGAAATCAATCCTTATTTTATTTAGATTTAATAAAATTCTTAATTATAGTTTATAAATTTCTTGGAAGTAAAGACTTGTGTACGATTAGTTCATAATTAAAAAAATTATAATGTACCAACAAAAATATCTGATTATGTTAAATGACATAAAATAAAACAACAAGATGATTTAGTTTCAATTAAATGAGGTATTTCATTTACGTCCGATGAATGTTACCAAATTGTTCATAATACTGTGAAGAAAAAATTTAAACAAATATCAAATAAATATGAAGTTCAAATACGTAATAATTCTTGATTAGTCGTTATAGATGATCGATTTGTTCGACGATTATGACAACGTTTCAAAATTTACTAAAAAATTACCAAAATGAATGATGTTAATCCAGCAATATAATTAAAAAAGTCTACAAAAAAATCATTATTTAGTTGAATTATTTGTTTGTCAACAATAATTATACAAATAATGAAACAAAATTATATTTTCCCGAAAAGAATACCAAAATTTCATATAAAAGGATTAAAAATGACAGAGGAAATCAAGGCTTATGATGGATTAGAAAAAATTTTTTTTAATATATAACATTAAAATCATAGGAAAAAGATTATGTTGTTCTTTTTATACACAATCTATTACATGAAGTAATGTCACTAAATATAAAAAATTCAATAGCTCATTTTGTATTAAGAACCGATATATTAGTAAAAAGAAAAGATAAACCATTCGGATTTATTGTTTGCTCCAAAGAAAATGATGTTTATTTTGTTTGTTTAAATTGTTTTCATCAAACACAACAATCTATGAATTAGACGTAGGTAAAAAGACTTGATCAATTTATTTCTATCGAAGAATTTTATGAACGTTTTTTTTATAAATAAGATATAGTTATTCGTGCACTAGATTCAACGAAAATATATCGTTCGATATAATCGAAGTATGCGAAATGGAAAAAGTATTAGTAGATGCATTCTATAGTCGAAATTATTATGAATCTCTTTATTGAATGAAACAGACAAATAAAAGAGAACGAAAAGCCGATTTAAATTATAGTGTTGATCATACTTTTATGAAAAACACGTCATCAATCTCAATTTATTGAACAAGATCTTTTATAACGTTTTCATTGTACAATAATATCAAATTCTGATATGAAAAAAATGATTATTCAGAAGAACAATTAAAATGAATCAAGCATTCATAGTTATCAACACATAAGTGCTTTGAATGTTAGTCCAGTAAAACTTGTTGATATTGATAATGATTATGAAAGTTTGATAGAATGTACCAAAGATGATATATTAATTTATCGTGAGTAATTAATTAAACAAATTGATCGGGATTCTGACATAAGTGTATATCGAATGTTATATATGCAGAAAAATGATACTGTTAAAAGTATTTATCTTTATCGTATTGGTTTAAGAGGTGATATAAACGACGTTCCGGAACCTCATTAAATAAAGAACGACATAATTTTTATCCGTTTTTACTTTGATATTGTTTTGTTCAAACATTACAATGTTCAGCTTCAAAAGATTATCGTGTGAATTTTGAAAAAATAGCTGAAAAAAAAACAAATGGATTACATCACGGATTTCGTCAATGAGGAATTTTCAGCTATTCATATTGAACAATTTTCTTTTTTAAATTATACATATTTGTCTCATGTACGTTTAGCTGTTGCTCAAAATACTTATCATGATTTTATTTTAGATACACATGGCGGAATTATCACTTTTTTAATTTTGGTTAGAAATTTTTTTACATTTAATACAAATGCAATATTGTGTCTTTTAGTCAAGAAAAATAAAAACTTACAAATCAAACTAAACGAAAAGTTTGTTATAACTATTGATTATTCATATATTAAGATGTAGTTTTTAGATAATAATAATGAATAATATTAACATTTTACTATTGAATAACTAGTGAGTTAATATTGAGTGTAAATATTATTTGTACTAATTGATTACTCAATTGATTGCAAGTATTAAAGATCCAGAATATATGTAATAGAATTCACTATATTTGAGCGAATGGAGATTTTCTCATATTGATGATTAATCTGTACATTTAGATAGTGTTTAGTACATTTAAAACAATCCGTCATATGAAAAACTAGATAAATTACTCACATAATCTTTTATTTTAGGAAAAATATTTCAATCTGTAAGATATTCTAACAATCTAGAAATTAGCAATTTTAACTCTTGGAGTAAAGGCAACGCGAATTAGCATCTTGAGATTTTACACTCGGATAAGTTTTTACACATATTATGTGTTGATTATTCAATGAAATGAAGTGTATAAGTATTCACGTTTAAAATATATGCCAGATCAAGATCATCTACGTTTTAAGGTCAGTGTCATTCGCATTTCTCGAAATATTGATATTTTTCGTGTTAAACTATTTAATCTTGGTCAAATTTTGTCTTTTTACCATTGATGTATAGTACCTGCGGCTCGGTTTACATTTCGAAAAACTCAAGCGACAATTATCTTTGAAAGTAATGATGGCTATTCTCATCCCTAATTCGAACCGATTCCGATGCGATTTCATAACTTTTCATTTGAATCATTTTGAAAAAAATATTAGAGAAATAGCAAAGACTTTGCTAAATCGATTAAGAAACATTATTTTAAATAATATATTTCATAATATTTACACGAGATATTCATTTTATGTTTCGAAAATTTTAGTTTTTTTTGTTTTTTTGTAAAAAATAATTCTGTACTCAAAAGATTAAGAAATATAGAAGACAATGTGAATTGATTAAAATTGTTTAGTTCAAAATCGTGTGTATATTTTAGTAAAATTCGTAATAAATAAATTCAACAGTTTTAAATTTACAGTTAATAAAATGTGTCAAATCAACAAAATAGTTATAAAAAGAAACCTTCGTAAGCAAAAAAAAAAGAATATAGAGGTAAATACTTGTCAGGTGATACTGATAGTAATGATGAATAGATAAGATATCGTGCAAATAGCTTATGTAATTCTTTCAAAGAAGAAGCAGAAGAAGACAATAGTATCAAAATAAAAAAATCTTATGGCAACAAGAAGTCAGACACCAACTAGAAGTAATAAGTCACCAACTAAAATTACTCATAAAAAAGTATGTACAATTATCTTTCAACTCTTCATACACATATTTGTTTTTTTTTTGTCACAGTCACAAGTACATGCCGAACCATTGCAAAAGTAAAGAATGCTATTTCTATCTCTTTTGTTTATTTATTAAATATATTATTAAAAATTTTATTAGTCAGTCTCAAGTTATTCCACTTGTTCAATCTGGAACTGCACAACGTACATCATGTAACCATTTCTTTGTTCGTTGACCTTGAATATTTAGATTATATTATTTTTGTCTAGTAATCGAACATCATAATATATCGGATGCAAAAAAATCAATCCGCACTGTGAATGATAATCTTTTTTTTTTTTTGACTTAAAATTTTGTTGTCTTGTTTTGTATTCATATTTTTCTTTATTCTAGGAGAATGGTTTTGAATATCAATTGATACCAGTTGAAATTCAAAAAGTTTGATAGTTGTATTTTTTTTCTTTTCAATATATATATATGAATGTTTACTTATTTAGGAAGCAGAAATTGGTCTTGTCATTGGTCACATTGAAGGTGAACCTTGGGTTTTTATTGATGAAATTCTACCAAATGGAATGATCGATATGCATGGTAAATTCAAATTAAAAAAAAAACATAATTCAGAATTTTCAAGCTAAAAAACAAAACTTTATATGAAACATGATCAAATCGTTTTTAAATAGTCATTAAAAATTTCTTTCAAAAGTTTAAACTTTGTTCGAAATATTCTTTGATAGTTGAATATTTTTTGTTGTTTTTGAAATAGAAAAAAAAAAAATTTATACTTTAATCGACAAAAACTAATTCATTTATAGGTATTCTTACAGAAGGTGATTATTTAATTCAAGCTGGAATTTATAGTCTTGCCGACATTGATATTAAAAAAGCATTATTACTTATTGAACGTGCATATGATGAAGGTCGAAATGTAAATTTTTATTTATATTCTAATTATTTCATAGATTTATTTTCTTCTAGAGTTTATCATTTATTGCTGCTCGTCAACAAAAGCCAAATGTTAAAAGCTTACAAGTGAATCAATCACAGGATAAAAAGAAACCATTCGAGAAAGTAGATCGTAGAGAATCAAGAGCACGATCATTTGTTGAATATGAAAATGAAGAAGAAGAAGAGCCAGAACCAGAAGCAGGTGATTCAAATGAAAATGACGATCAGAATACTACAAAATTCTAATATAAAATTAATAAAATTTAATTATCTAAAACGAACATTATTTTGAACAATTATTAATTCATTTTCAATATTACGCCAATCATATAGAAGAAAATTTTTCTCAATTGTATTCATTACAATTAATAAACCATGAGGAAAATTTTTATTTAATGAACTACTTGTTACTTCTATACCATCTGTTTTATCAGCACGTGTTTTTATTGATTTTATATAAGAATTTGTTCCTTGACGTTCATATATATGAAATATTGATCCATTTATTATTTGATCAGTTATTATTAAATATCCATTTGTATCAGATGTTGTATATAAAGCAAGTCCTTCGGAATCACCTTGCCATAAATTAGTTGTATTTATAAAACTAATTTGTTCAGTTTGATTTGTTTGTGGATCAACATTATATTTTCGAATACCATAAGATTCATCTGAATAATAAACAAATCCAAGTTGATCATCAACAACAATTGATTCAATTTCTTCACCTTGAAAATCACCAAAATAACGAATAAATTTTAAATCAATTAATTGTTCATTCCAAATTAATTCATATTGACCAAGATAATTATGATTAGGACCTGATTTTCGACTAATAATAGCATAAATTTTTCCATCATCTATTCGTTTATATAATCCAAGACCCATAGGAGCTGCATGATTATCAGAACTATCGATAAATACATTTGTATTTTGTCCAGTTAATTCATATAATTGACGTTGATTAATATTAATTGAAAAAATACGTAAACGTTCTTGTAAACGTTCTGTAAGAACAACTAAATCAATAGAATAAGTTTCATTTATTTTAAAACCATATTCAACATCAACATTATTTGGTCGATCAATATTTTCAATATGTTGAAGAATTTTACCATCAAGATCAAAAATATATAAACCACCTATTCTAGCTATTTTATCTGTAGCAATAATAAGACTTAATTCAGGTTGAGTTGGATGAATCCATATAGCTGGATCATCAGGATCTGTTCGAACAGGTTGAGTTGCAATAGTTTCGTGAATAAATGGTATTAATTGATTATTATTTAAATTTTGACCGATACAAATATAAGTATAGAAGAAAAATAATAATAATGTTAGAAGAAAGAACATAATATATTTGCTGAAAACAATAAATATTTAGTAAAATAAGAAGAAAAAAAAATTAAGAACTTGATATTTAAATATATAAAATAGGATTAAACTTTTATCTTAATAAGCTGTGTTTTTGTTTTGGGCGTAAAAAAATTCTATGATCGAAATAGATTACTTATCATAAAAGAATGATAGTCAACTAATGATTCATGCTATCTTCACGAGCATCATATTAGTATTTCGGTTTCGGTAAATAGCAATCAAGTATTCAATCACTGAGTCGCTGCAATTCACTTTTGTCATTCTGTTACTATAGGCACTTTTTATAAAAGCGAAAATTCATTTGTATATGTAGATAAGAAACGATAAATAATGAAAACGACAGCAAGATAATATCAAGTTCAATACGTATTACATCTATAATAAAAAAAAAAAGTCATACGAAGTAACTTGACAAGTATTTACATATGTTTGTTGAAAATGTTTAAATCGATGTTTTTTAACAGAAAAAAAAGTACTGAATATCCGGAAAAAAATAGAACAAAAATTATTGTCGTAATAAGTATTTTTAGAAAAAAAAGAATTATATAATTAAATAAACCATTTATCTTAGAAAAGAAAATTATATTCAACTAATGTTGCAAAGCTTATTCATATATATATATCATAGGATTATTCTTTGTTCGTGCCTTATCTTATCTCTATAGAGATATATTTTTACAACAATACCGATTCCAGTGAAATTCTTTATTTAGATAAATATATTTATAATATAATTGATTCTGTCAGAACAGGTCATCTAGTTAACTCGTTGTTGTTTAATAGCAATATTTTTTTTTACTTATAATTTGCTATTATATAGGACATTATCATTGTATAAATATTAAATGATTGAGTCTGCATTTATTGTGTTGTCAGAAATCAAACATTACATATTTGTCTGTTTTTAAAGTTTATGTATATAAAATAGCCAACATCAATACAATCTATATCATGTATATATATATATATATATATATTGTCTCAGTCAATAAAAGTCTAACAATAAACATGTAATACTTCATTTTTGGAAAACCATAGATTTTTTTTGCGTTAGTATCCTTGAGCATTATTCATAGTATTACGTGATTCGTATGTTTCGATCAGTTAAAAGATATTGTTTATTTTTGTCTAGATAATTATCTAGGGTGATTTCAAGATTATTAAACAAAACGTATAATGAATGAAATTTCACACTAGACGATAAACACATTAGATATTCTTGATGTACACTAAATCGTTTTAATGCCAGACAAGAATAATATTTCATGGTACTTGCCATTAGGCAAAAAAAGTTTTAGCTATTCTCCTTGGTATATAATCAATAACAACAACAAAAACAATCTTGATCGAATGTCTTCCCTAACTAGAATACGACAGAATGATCCTTTCATATCGCAGCAAGAAAGTAAATGCGCAACTTCTATTTCCTATAATATTCTTTTAGAGCCAAAACATTGCATCAACAAATACAGATCAGCTAAGCAGTTGTTCGATTCCTTTTTAGCTTATTCAGAAAGCCTAATTTGACGCGTACTGCCATACATATATACATCGGCAACCTACAGAAAAGAAAAGAGAAAAACGTTGATATATATATATATACAGAGAGAGAGGGAAAAAGACAGAATGATACATCGATAATTTTCTTCTTTAGATCTGCATGGCTGTTCTGTTGTTTTTTGTCTATTCCCATTACTATACACATTAAAACAATGTCGTCAATGTATACTGGTGCTGGTAGTTACCAATATCCACAAGGGTCAACAAGATCTAATAGTCAATCTATGAACTATGGAAACAATCAAATAAATCAAGGTTATTCAAGTCCACAAACTCATCAAGATGAACGACGTACTTCAAATCCACAAACTTATCAAGGTGAACGACGTGCATCAAATCCTGCATTAACTCTACCAGCCTATCGAACACAACTTTATACTACTCCAAATACTCAAAACTATTCAATACCATCATCTCTTTATGTTGAACGACGTTCAATAAATCCTGTGCCAACTACACAATATAATCAACCACAATATATTGAATTAAAAAATTCAAATTTTGGTTATGGCAATGCTCGTGCTGTACAAGCTCAAACAACAGGCATGTATCATAATAAAAATCCTGGTACACCATCACGTAATATTAATCCAGCATTAAAAGTAAATCCAGCACCACCATCACTATCTCAATATGCTACATTTGGTAGAGAAAGTCTTTTTGCTAAAAAAGAAACACGCGGAGAAATTGATGATGCACCAATAATTGATCCACGCGCATTTCAATATTTAAATATAAGTGATAAAAAAGTTCAAAAGAAACCAGCATCAAGTGAAGGTGGAGTTGATACACGACCAATTATTAATCTTGATGCTGTTACACAATTGGAAAAACGTCGACAGCAACAAATTGAAAAAAATAATCGATTACGTGGTGATGATGGAGCAGGTGCAGGTATTGATGAAAGACCAATTGTAGATGCAAATGCTTTTCGTTATATCGAAGCTAAGACAAATAAGAATAAAGATAATGAACAACAAGGTCAAGGTGTTATGAGTGGAATCGATGATAGACCAATAACTAATCTTGATGCAATAAAGTAGGTTTTCATTATTCATAATATAGAAATTATATTTTAGAAAATTTACTAAAGAGATTTGGAAGCACGACGTCAACATAAACCATCAAATATTTCAAGTGAACCATCAATTGATACACGACCAATAATCAATCCTGATGCATTTAAATATTTAGAAAAACGACGAGAAAATTTACCAAAAGATAAAGATGAAAGTGGTATTGATAATCAACCAATTGTTAATCCAGATGCTTTTCGTTATTTGGAACAACGTGGTCCTCCACCTCGTCGTAATGTTGAATCAGGTGTTGATACAACATCAATGGTTAATCCACAAGCATTTAAATGGATTGAAAAAAAAGAACCACCTAAATCTGAACTAACTGAATCAACTATTGATTATCGACCTATTGTTGATCCACAAGCATTTAAATGGATTGAAAAAAAAGAACAACCTAAATCTGAACCAATTCAATCAACTATTGATTATCGACCTATTGTTGATCCTCAAGCATTTAAATGGATTGAACGACCAGAACCAAAACGTCGTGTTGATGAAGGTCCTGATGTTGATGAACGTTCTTATGTTAATCCACAAGCTTTTCAATATATTGATCGTCGACCAGAAAAGAAAAGTGATATATGTGAACCAGAAATTGATACACGAAGTTTTATACTTGAACGAAATCCAAATGCTCTTGCTCATCTTGAACGTAAATCAAGAAATCTACCAAATGATAAAGCAGAAGGTGGTGTAGATGAACGATCATTTGTTAATCCACAAGCATTTAAATATCTTGAAGGTATGAGTGATGATACATCTCATACTTCTGTACATTCATCAGTTGGTCCATCAATTGATACAAAATCTTATGTTCAACCAGATGCATTTCGTCATCTTGAATTTAAAGGTGGAGAAAGAAAACAAGGTAATTATGATGAACCGGAAGGTGTTGATGAAACATCTTTTGTATCACCGGAAGCTTTTCGTCATTTGGAATTTACTGATGAAGATACAAATCCTGCACAAATTGAGTATTCAACATATGGACAATCAGACTTTTGAAATTTTTTTTTTCTTTTTTTATTAAACTGACTATTGTCCTTTTTTTTCCTCATATTGTAACTTATTTACCTTATGATAATAAATTAACTTTTTAATTTTAAAAAATCTAGCCAAAGGAAAATAGTAACTAATCAAATGATAAGATTTGAAATTTCACTTAAATAAAATAATTATTCTTAAAAAACGTTGAATGTTCAATTATTTCCTTAAGTTTCTGTAAACTAATTAGTATAGAACCTATTAAATAGCAACTGTTTTATTCATTTTTCTATTAGTTAGATAAAATTATTTTATTAATCTTTATATTCTTAATGAAATCTTATGTAAGATGAAGATTTTTAATTCAGACGGACACTGTCCGATAATTTGTATAACTGAGATTGGTTTGATTTAACAAAAAAACAAAGAACAACACGAATCGATCCTAATCAGAGATCTCAATAGGCTGGGCTGAGCCGAAGAAAACTAGGCTATGGGTTATCGACCTTTGACTCGATCCAGTTATGAATTACTCATCTGATTGCATTGAATAAATTTCTAACATATGAATGTCCAAGCATATTTCACGTACCAGTAGTTGATGTATAAACAAATGTTCGGTAACATATATGACAACTTGCAAGGTTGTCATTTCTCTGGAATTCATCAGTATTTGCTGATTTTTTTACTTGAAATATGAAAAATTATTTAAAATAAGTATGTGTTTGCTTTTTCATTTTTAATAACAACATATGTTGTGATGGTTGCTATTTCAAAAGAAATTTCATCTGTTCAGATGTGTACTGTTTTGTATACGGAATATGATGAACTAGCATTGGTAATTGAAGGAAAAGTATAAACAAAAATTGATGATTGACAAGAAGAATAGCATTTAGAATTAGACAAGTAATGGACGATAATGTCGTATTTGTTGATAAATGAGGACAGAGTTAGACAAGGTCATCCTCTTAAATATAAAGAAAGTTTTGTTAAGGTGACGATAATATTATCTTTTGATTTTATATATTTGCTGTTCATTGCAGAAATGTTTTTTGGCAAATTGGAATATTTACATGGGATTTTCGAAAAAATGATTTAGTGAAAATGTGCAACATCTTTTGAAAATTTCTTCGGTCTAGTCCATGATTTTCTATCCCAAAAAAGTTCGACCCAATCCATTGAGAACTCTGATCTCAACTCTAATAATTTGACAAAAAATAAACCGACTTATGTACTTTTTTTATTACTATGTTTATCATGTAAACAAGAAAAAAAATGATATTTTATTCACGATAAATCCTGAACGAATTCTAATATGCAATCTGAGAAAAGTAAATATTCTATTTTTTAGAACGTTGCACTAACTATTAGCGACATCATTCTATATCTTATGAAATCTTTTTCAAAATAAACCTTAATTTTTATTGATATTTTAATCTTCATTAAAACAAAAAAACATTGATTATTTTTTTCTTAATCAGTATTCAATAATTTTTATATCTGGTGTGTTTCCATATCAACAAACATATAAAATGGTCGTTGCATTTTATGACGTACTTCAACTAAACATTCATTGATATTTATAAATCGATTATAATCTATCTATATATCTATTTTTTGTTTCTCATTTAGCTTAATTCTATCAAAATGAGTAATCATAGTGATGAAGATGAAGATCTTTCTCAAGATGAACAAGATCAAGATTTAGATCAACAAGTTGAAGAAGATTTAGATGTTCAACAACAAAATGCTTTTGTTACAGATGATGCAGATGTTGAAGTATCAAATCAACAACAATTAGGAGAATATGAAGATATCGAACCAATTGAAGCTCAACCACCCAATGAAATTGATGTTGATGAACAAGAAAGACATCAATCTGGTACACCTGCTTTTCGTACACTTGAAGAAGTATAAAATAAAAACTAAAATATCTTCATTTTTATCATTTTTTTTTTGTCTTTAAAGTTATTTAAAGAAGGAGTTCTTACTGGTACACAAATGGCATTACTTAAATCGAAATATATTGATTTACAAAATGCTTTAACACAGTAAAATAAAAACAAAAGATCTATCAATTTGTTTTTTTTTTGTCGTTTATTTAATTTAGATCACGTCAAGCTGAAGCTCGATTACGACAAGAAGAACATACATATTTAGCTCAAATTGAAAAACAAAAACGTATATTAGAAGAAGGTGAATCATTTCCAGATAAAATTACAACTGAAGTTCAACAACGACGAAAAGATTTACTTAAATATAGTAATGATTTAGCATGCACTAATGAACGTTTATTTGATCTTGAATATAAAATAAAAGCGTAAATATTATTTAACAAAAAAAAAAAAAACTTAAACTTATTTTTAATTCTCTAGTTTGGAAGAAGATAAACGTGCTTTAGAAAAGGAAAAAGCTCGAATACCAAATCAACATGATATTGATGAAAAACTTAAAAATTTACGTAAAGAATGTGATGAATTAAAACGACAAATTGGACAAAAAAAATCTGAAATTAATGATCAAAATATTTTATTAGGAGATAAAAGAAAAAGATTTACTATTACAACAAAACAATATGATGAACTTAAACATACAATTGAAACACTTGAAGTAAATTTCTTTTCTTTTCATTTTATTTTTCTATTAGTTATTTCTTTTTATTTCAAGTCGGAATATATTCAAGTAACATTACGACCAGCTGAATTAATTAAACAAACTGATAGTCTTTCACTTCAACGAGAGTAAGATTTTTATTATTTTTCTTTTGTTTTAAATATGAAAATTATTTAGAAAAAAATTATCTATTCCTACAGATTTTAGAAGATTTTTAATTAAAACTTAAGCGTCTGTATAAATTTGCTGATTCGCTGCTTTTTAAATATTAATTGAATAAAAAAATAAAAGATATTAATTAATTATTGTTTATTTTTTCTTTTAGTCAAACTGAACAAGAAATTGAAGATATGGATGTACAATTAAAAGAACAAATGAATTCTATTCAACAACTTCGAGATGATATTGAAAAAATGAAATCTTTATCAACAAAAGAAATAAGATTAAATGATCAACAAAATCAACAAAATGATAAATTAAATGAAGAAATAAAAAATGTTTTAAATTTAATTGCATTTGAAGAAGCTAAATTAGCCAAAGGACAAATAGACGAGTAAAATTTAAAAAAAAAATTCCCTTTTTTCAAAAATATTATTAACAAAAAAATTTCATGTTTTTTTTTTTTTTTTGTACAGACGTCAATCTACGGAAGCTGTAAAAAGTACGATACAAATGGGTAAACAAATTCGTGAACAACATGCAAAAATACAAAAACAAAAAGAAAGATTATTAAGAGATTTAAAACGTGCTGAAACTCAATTTCGTCATGCAAAAGATGAATTATCAAGTGCGAATATGACAATAGAAAAATTACAACTTAAAGTAAATTTTTATTTAATTGAGAACAATATTAGATTTTGAGTGGATATAATTAAAACAAAATTTACCGTTTGACGTTTATCGGACATAGTATTCTCTTGTAAAATGAAGTTTAGAAAAGAAGAAATACAATTGTTCTTAATGTATACTCTCAAAACATATTGACTTATTTTAATTATTGAGTATTAGATTTACTGCTGATTTGTATTTCGTGCTTCGGACATATGATGAGTCTATTATAATGATAGCACCTTCATACTAACGAAGGAATGCTTTCAACCGATTAATCGATTTTTAACTAGGATTGAGTGCATAAGGTAGATACCAATGAGATATGAAAAACCTCAAAACAATAAGTTCCCTTAGACCTACTGTCCAGAGTTATAGACATTTTATTAGAATTTTAGCCTCTGACTTAGTATATACCAACAAATCTAATGGCGAAATTTCGATCTGAGGTTTTGCCCACAAACAAGTCTATTTGTTAGTGGAATGTTCTGAAAATGTCAGTTCAAAAGAATATTTCCTTCCCGAGATATTAATATCATAAAAAATACTCATATTCCACGAAAGATGCTAGAATTTCCTGTTTTTTTTTGAGATATTAATATCTCTAGAAAGAAATATTCTTTTCAGCTGAAATTTTCAGGATATTCTACTAACAAATAGACTTGTTTATAGGCAAAATCTTAGATCGATTAAAATTCTAATAAAATATCTATAAATCTGAAGAGAACATCTAAGTGAACTTATTCTTTTGAGGTTTTTCATATCTCATTGTTGTCTGTCTTATGCACTGAGTCCGAATTCAAAAGCGATTGATCAGTTGAAAACGTTCCCTTGTAAGAGGAGATGACCGTTCTATAGAGCCAGCCATTGCAATATATTTATAATATGATCATATTCTTCACTGTTACATTCGATAAAGTGAGGAACTTTCTAAAATGAACTCTTTAAGGTAATGGTGAACTGGATTCAGTTTTTTTTGTATGTAAGGAATATACAAATGTTTTTATTCTAACTGAATATCAGAAAAAATCCATAAGTAAAACAGGGTACAGAATATCATAAAAGTTACCTATCAAAAAAAAAAAGAATTTGAATATTTATATCGTGTTTTAACCAAATTAGTTTATTCTTTTTTTTTCTTGTGATAGAGGAGAGATCTTAGTTTTTATTTGTATGGAAGAAATTGAAAAGTCATGTTCACAGTAATCATTCTTGCCAGCAATACAAAAAATATTGACCATTAGTACGGAATCACTAGACTAGAACAGTTTCCAAAGGGTTCGTGCCCTTGTTGCGTATCAACCGAGCCATTAAATTTCTACTGAATACACTTCCATAAGATTCAAGCTCATAGAATCTTGATTCCGCTGCGCTCTTCAATAAGACTTCACATTATTAATAAAATTTTATTATCAAATTCTAACTTGAAACTTAACGTACGCAAAGCTTACACTTCGACTAGTATGTGTAAAATATTTCAAATTCTTTGGATTGTCAATTTCTTCTCTATCATTGATTTTTTTTTTATATGAATAAATTGTCTATGAAGAAAATAGTATCTGACAAAGCTTATTTGTT